TAAAAAAATAAATAAAAAAAATAAAGAGATGGGTCATCATAGCCTATCCTACAATGGCAAGATAACCTGGAAGGGAACCTGGACTGTCCATAATTGCCCCTGCCTTGGAAGTCAAGAAGAACTGGTTTTCTGGAGTCACTTCTCCAGTCTCTTTGCGTTTAGCCTGGGGACCATTTCCAACTGCAGACCTTGGAATGCCATTCTTGCATTCTGTGAATTCAAGAAAAACATGGGTAACCTTATCCACATGTCCCTTCTGAGAAAAGAGGCTAACAGCTTCTCCCGATCTCTAAGCAGCAGAAATTGCAGAGTGCAACAGCTGCTAAGGCCCTGACCCTGAACTTGTCAACTTCTTCCCTGCCCTCCCATCTCCTTCCTCCTTGCATACCGGCCAAAGGAAGCTTTCTGCTTCTTTTTTGGTAAAGAGCCTCGGAGAGGAGCATTTGAGCACCTACTCCAGTTGAGAAAGACCACTGACATCTGGGCTCCAAGGGCCTTTGAAATGAGACCGGCATCTAGACTTTTCCAGAGAGGTAGTAGCTACCCTTCCCATTCTCCCTAAAAAAGGTCTGTGGTCTTTCTTATAGGCTAACACCTTCTGCTGACCCAGATGCTTTGTATTCACTCAGATGCTGAAGCAAATGATCTTTGTCATCAGGAAAGTCCGAAGGGCTTAATATTGTACACTCTGGGGGCAAATTTCTCCAGAATTATTATTTCATTTTCTCCCTGCCACCAAACACATCTTCCTAAGGACAAGGTTCATAAGTGCTCTCCCAGGGAAAGCTCTGCGTAAGTGGGATCATGTTTACCATGATGATCATCACTCCAGCCCCTAGGATGTTTGAGAAACAAAAATAAGCTTTGCAAGTTGCCTAGGTTCTGCAGACTCAGCAGGCCCCTGCTGGGACCAATCCAGGGCTGCCTCTGGAAGAGATACTGCCTTGATCTTTCCAACGTACTGATTGGCTTTGAGGCATGGGCGGGACCAGGGCCACTGCTTGGGTCCGGCTCCCCATAGGTGAAGGAAAGTTAAGGTGGGCTTCCAGCAAGACTTTTGTCCGGTGACAGCAAGGAAAGTCTTGGGGATTTTTTTTTTTTTTTTTTCCTGCTTTGGAGGCCCAGGTTCAAGGCAAATTATAAGTGGGAAACCAACTTGAAGGAAAGAAATTTGAACCGAGTTCAGGTGCCAGGTCCTGGGAGAGAAGACCAGCCCTGTTTGAAGTCTGCATCCGCCGCTGACCAACTTGGGGGCCTGGGTTAAGGGAAGGGGGTCCAGCAAGCACAGGCGGAAGAGAAACGGGTACCGCCCCAGACAGGCCATCAGAGGGAGCAAAAATGATGGAGGGCACCAGCCCATGCACTTGGTGTTTTTAACTGGGTAAAGCCTTTCTATGATTTCTTCAAGGCGAACCAGCAGCAGCAGAGGTGTGCCTTTGATTGGCTGGGGGGGCTTTCTGCGGAGCCCTAGAATGAAGTTTCTCTGCTACTAATCAAGCAAAGAGGCAACCCACTATGCCTGGGCTCAGCCTCCTCTCCCGCTCCCTTTCTGCTGGGCGTAAAACGATGCTCCCCAATCCCACCTAAACCAGGAGGCAAGGAGCCCAGGCTTTTTGTGCACACGGGACCTGTCACTGCCCGCCTTTTCTGCCCCCAAGACAAGGGAGGACTCTTGGAAGCCGACAAGGGTTTCAGAAGTCTTTCTGGCCCGAGCCGAGTGTGGTGAGGAGCGAAGGCCCCTGGCGGCCGGCGGGAGGCGGGAGGGGGGCGCCGAGGGCCACCATGGGCCTGCTCAAGGGCCTCCTCGGGGCGAGAAACCTGCTGCTCGTCATCTTCGTGCCGCTCCTGCTGCTGCCCCTGCCCGTGCTCCACCCCAGCAGCGTGAGTACCGCGCGTCCCCTCGGGTCCCTACGGGCCGGCGGTCGGGGGTGCGAGGGCAGGTAGGGCAGCGGGGGCCGGGGGGCCGAGGGATGGGGTGCTTCACTCCCGGGCTCAAGGCATGGACAGCGCTTTCTGGGGGAGGCTCGAATGCTTTCTTCCCCTGGCGCTGCCACTTTCGTCCCTCCGCCCCCTCCCCGGGGCCCCGACCAACTGCGTGGCCCCCAGACAGTGGTGAGGTTGGCGGGGCGGCTGAATCGGCTGAGGGGTGCTACCCAGTCATCTGGCCGCCGGAACGGCGCGGGGGCCACGCGCTGTGCCCCCGAGGAGAGGGACACGCTGCTGGGCCGGCATTTGTCCTGGGCTCAACTGGGTCACCATGTGACCGGCTCTCTGTGAGAGAGCTGGAGAGCAGGGAGGCTTCCCACTAAGGACACCGGGGGTTGGGAGGGATGCGGGAGGGAGGGGATTACCCTGCAGGACTGGGGGGTCGCGGGCAGGGGCGTGGGGGTCAGGAGTTCCACGGGGGCTCCTCTGCACCCACCAGGGTCTGTGATCCTGATAACCACGCTTTGAAATGCAATCGCTGAAGTCCCTCTGAACTTGACGTTGAAAGCAGAGCTTGGCATCTTGCCCCAGTCCCATGCATATGGCCCTTTGATCATTTGTATCCTCTGTGTTTTCTTCTCTGTGCTCTTGACGGAGACTTTCAACCACGGGATAAAAAAGAAATAAGAGCCCCCAACGCTAGACCATGACCCAATTTTTGACCGGTTTGCACAAGCAGAGATGCCAAAGCTTTGGCTCTGCCTTCTGCCGGCTTCTCAGACCTTCAG